ACCATGGCTAACTAAGTAGTTTGTTGTTTAGTTGTTACAAGTAACATGACTAACCTTGCATGGGAAAGCCACAATAACACATTACTGATGTCCTTGTACTCAGTAACATCTACTGGCGAGTGATACGTCAAGCGTATTAAACCAACCCTGTTTAATTTAAATGGATTCTGAAACTGTTCATCCTGTTTCTCTGAACATATTGACGCATGTGTTAAAGGCATTAATCAGTAGAATCGTACACATACCCGTGTCCATATGGACATTGGTTGTTTCCGAACGTCATGATGTGATGCAATTTAATTGTTTGGTGTCAAAAAACAAGATTTTGAAAAGTTGAGTGGATAACTATTTGTGTGAAGTTGTTAAGAATTGTTGTGACTTTTGTCAGTAAATATCATATACACCGGAGTAACAACACACTCAACATATACACTTGTACAAGTAACACATCTAACTGTATGGCGCAACAAATAAAGCGATAATAATGTGTAAATCGGCCCGCTTGTAGTTTAGTCGAAGCATCATTCTGTGATTTAGAAGCATGTATTTCATTTTGGATTTTTTTAAAATCAATACTTTCTAAATTTAGTTTGAGCGCGATGAAAACATAGTTAATTTATTTTTTAGACGGGACAATTTTACCATTTTCGCTAAAAGTATGAATATTATAACTGTTGTTTAAATTCATTGAATCATATAAGGGCTTTTCGCGCAACATTATACGACAGTTATGTGGGTTTACACCAGTTTATGTAGGTGTAATGCGCCTCCTTAGTCAAACAGTGTGTACTGCCGTGTTAGGGTATTCTAAGCACGTTCAATATTAAATCTGTATAAGAATGTTCGTCAAGTTGCTGCTCCTCTGTAAGGAACTTACTGTATTTGATCACACAGTCGTCATTTTGTTGCAGACTGCAGCACAATCCAAGGCCACAGGCAATCACAGTCTGAAAATTTGACGGGAGCTGATCTTAATCATGAAAATGTCGGATAATACACATTGCACTTTTGATAATCTGTTTAATATATACAGCGTAAGGCTGGTGATATACATACATTTATGCTTAAATAGGCGAAGGCTAGTTGCTATCGCCCTTGGAATGTTCCTACATTCTGACTGCAGTGATAGGATTTTCTTTGGCAGTATAACATCGGTTACGGCGTTATCTGCCTTGTATTCGGGAAGCAAAGCCTGGGAGGGATGTGGTGCGAACTAGTGTCACTTCCTGAGGATCACAAATCATCGTTGCTTAATCAATTTAACCTTATTCGAGATAGCTAAATTTAAATTTAAATTTGACATTGAGACAATCGCAAAGCCTACAAGATTATTAAGACACGGTGTTATAGAAGGGTAAGTGCCTTCTGCTTCATGGACGATGCTGTCATATACATCCTGTTCGAATCAATAGCTACTTAAATCTTTGTACAATCCTGGAAATATCATGTCCCCGAATCGAAAACCGGGGTAGCGACAAGCCACACTCGTGAGTGTAATAAAACACCAGCCTTCCTATCCCGCAAGGACAAAACATACCTCCCAGTAAGAAAGTTCATGGCGGCAACTGTTGGGTTACGATTGGTGAACGTAGTATACTCATGAGAGTAAGATACACGTTATTACCGACTGATAAGCATTGTGAAATGAAAAAAGGTCATGACCTACATATTAGTGTCATTTCCTGATGTTTGTTATGACTTTGGCGTTATTGGTGATTGAACATTGATATGTAACACAGATGCAGCACCAATCAGGAAACGACTTGTGTGACATGTTTTTGTTGGGATCTGTTAATATTGATATATGACCACGGTTTATACCAAACTCGCGGCATCCTGGTTTCCGGTTCGGTCTGTTACAATCATTGTTATGTTGATGTTTCACATATGATATTTCAGTTATGCAAAATCTTTGTAAAGCAACGTATATAGAATGATCAAATTGACATTTGACATTGTAAATGAGATATCAAAGGACAAAATGATTGGCACAATTGAATAATAGAGAAGGTGTGTAGACATTAATGCGTATACATACATTCCTTACCTTTATGTACGTGTCTATACATTTTATGAGATCATTGCATTATTTATGGGATCCAGTGACAGCCCGACAGTAATTATGCTATCGAGGAATACTTAGCATCTACTTTATATCCATACTGGTTATATGGTTATATACTTTATATAGTTAGGTCATATGATTTATAAACGTCCTCCAAACATTTGAAACCATTTTATGATATTGTGGCACAGTTAGGACTTACCGTCGCGATGGTGATGCGTTGATTTGTACATCAGCCTTAGTTGGCTGATTTTGTAAAAGGTGTTAAGGTCAATGTTCTTCCGTTGATTCCTTTCGGAAGACTTTCCCTATTGTTGCATACCGAGGGTTACCGTCACTATGTGGAGGTACGGATTGTAACCCTCCCTGGGGACACTATATATAGTGGTATCCCTTTCTTCTCCATGTTACTTTGTTTTCTACCCGCATGTCTGTCTGACCTACTTGTTTGTTTGACCGTGTGGCCTGGTATAACATTGTCGTGTTTATGGCCGTAGGCATAATTTACTATTTCCAACTAATCAGTCCCTATATAAGCGTATTCATTTCTCGAATTCACTTCCATCAAGTGAAGCCCTTATGTCATTGTATTTTGTGGGACGTTCAGCATTGGTTTATTTTTCTCTAGTAGCACGTTTATATTCAACTTAATTTTTTGCTTAGAGTTGGTTACAATTTCTTTAGTAGCCTATTTATAGTTGGTTAAATTGTCCCGACAGCACAGTAAACGTTAGGGTTATGTAGACATACTCCTTACTGTATACCTATACTGTACTGTAGGCCTACGCCGTACTGTAGATCTATACTGTATTGTAGACCTACGCCGTACTATATACCTATACTGTAATGTAGGCCTACGCCGTACTGTAGGCCTAGTCCGTCCTGTATACCTATACTGTACTGAAGGCCTACGCCTTACTGTGGACATATACTGTACTGTAGGCCTAGGCCGTACTGTATACCTATTCTGTAATGTAGGCCTACGCCGTACTGTATACCTATACTGTACTGTAGGCCTACGCCGTACTGTATACCTATACTGTACTGTAGGCCTACGCCTTACTGTAGACATATACTGTACTGAAGGCCTACGCCTTACTGTAGACATATACTGTACTGTAGGCCTAGGCCGTACTGTATACCTATACTGTAATGTAGGCCTACGCCGTACTGTAGGCCTACGCTGTACTGTAGACATATACTGTACTGAAGGCCTACGCCTTACTGAAGACATATACTGTACTGTAGGCCTAGGCCGTACTGTTTACCTATACTGTAATGTAGGCCTACGCCGTACCGTAGGCCTACGCCGTACTGTATACCTATGCTGTACTGTATGCCTACGCCTTACTGTAGACATATACGGTACTGTAGGCCTACGCCTTACTTTTGTCCTATACTGTACTGTAGGCCTAGGCCGTACTGTTTACCTATACTGTAATGTAGGCCTACGCCGTAATGTAGGCCTACGCCGTAATGTAGGCCTACGCCGTACTGTATACCTATACTGTACTGTAGGCCTACGCCGTACTGTAGACATATACTGTACTGAAGGCCTACGCCTTACTGTGGACCTATACTGTACTGTAGGCCTACGCCTTACTGTAGACCTATACTGTACTGTAGACTTACACTTTACTGTATACCTACGTTTTACTGCAGACCTACACTCACTTCCGCGACCTCAATTCGACAGCATGGTGGCGTGAACGCGAGAACGCGAGAGTGCGAGAATACGACGGCGAGGGAGCGAAATTAAAATCCCTCGCGATCGGTCGCCGTCGTATTCTCGCTCCTTTGCCGTCTTGTTCTCGCGTTCTCGCGTTCTCGCTCCCTTGCCGTCATACATCGTGTACTCGCACTCTTGCCGTTGTATCCTCGTGCTGTCTCGTTGTCGACTTTAGGTGGAGAGCGAGTGATTACGAGATTCGTAATTACCTCCTTACCGGCCACCATAGTAATGTATAAAGATGTGCTATAAGTGGTTTCCAGTAGTTAGCAAGAAAAGTACTTAATATGAATATTGCTAAAATAACTGTTTAAATTATTTGTTTGACCTTAAAGTTACATACAATTTGACAAACCGGTATTTACAATATCAATAAACTAACCATGAGTGGATTGACGTCTTACCAGTGAAGGGTCGGTCCGTACTTTATTGTTGTAAATAGGATACCTCCGAAACCATCTTTTCTCACGGGATTTATACAAGGTATAAAACATACCAAAATGAAATAAACAGTGTTGTTGTAAATCAATCAGTGAGGGACTACTTGTTCACCGACTTCTTAAATACACAGATGATCTATAACAATCTAGTTTCAAGCTGACATATTTATCACATAGTTATCTTCTGTTGTGTGCTATACATTTAATTTCCTAACCCCTGCCTGCTGGGCGGAATGCTGTGATGGGCACCTTCGGCATGATTCTGCATCAGATCCGCGCTATCACAAGGAGGCAAACACACTTACATGGAGGCACGTCCTTAGATGACCTGACCTGTTAACAGGATGTTAAACTAAATAAAACTAAACCATTCCTGCCCGTCCATCACTTCCTCACCATCACCAAAGACTATACCGTAAATCCTACAGATGGTCTCGGACCAGGAATGATTCGATAAGATTTATATTCAATACAGATTTTCTATTCTCAAGTATAACCTATAAACTTCAGAGAGGAGATTATTTTTGAGAATATAAATCACGGGATTGGATAGAAATCATAATAAATTCTAACGAGATTGATACCTGGTTTATATTGAAAATATTTATATATCAGAAAAACAAATATTTCCTCTATGGCAAATACATTAACAGGCGTTTGAGATTTGGATAAATAGTATGTAAAATCTGTGGTAGCGCAAATGTATCTGGGCTTGAGAATTAATTTTACTATTTCGAAATATAAGATCACCAATTGTTTGTTGTAGACGGCATCCAATTTAGAGTATGCCGCATTCTCTAAGGAAGTTGCTAGGAACATCACCACCAGATTTTCAAACTGGAACACATACACTAACGCAAGCGTTAAAAGACAATTCAAGAAGCTTGTTGACATTGGGTTTGCAGCTATCAACGACACAGAGAAACTGAAATCAGTAAGTAAACACATGTCGGTGATGTTTGGCTAAAAGGAACATTTCGCTTGCTTTATTGTGAAAAAGAACATGCCGGCTTAACTGACAAATCAGTGTTGTCAATAACAGGAGAATAATGACTACATTTGTGCTGAAGTACTGGGCAGCTATATGTAATAATCGTACTAAAGAGATTGGTGAAAACAATTTCAGCACAAATTAGATATAAGCAGTACAGACACATATTGGAGCGAATCTATTGCTAAATATGCCATAATTTGGAAAATATTCTTATACAGAATTCGTTTGTAATATTGATACAACTAATAAAGCTATTATTCAAAAGGACTCGGCAGTTTCAAACTTCACAGTAATAACTTATTGGTCACACGGTTGATGCTATATTAAGTTATAGTTCGATCACCCCAAAACCACTAAAATATGAAAGTACCTAAAAAGGGTTATCAGAACAGATAGATCTTGAAAAAGACTAAACGGTCTTCAAATGATAGCAAAAACAGAATAATAAAAAGCAAAATGTTACAAGTCTAGCGAAAAATTGTTTATTGTAAAAAGGGTTTTTGCATTTGTATCTTAGAAATCCTTCCAAATTAAATTAAATCTACAACCCCTGAGACACCCGACATGATGTTTCCGGACCAATCCATGAGCGTTTATAGGTCAACTACGATCCACCAATTTCAAATTACCCTCTCGTACAATATCAATTCAATATGTTTATATGGTAATCCTTTTAACAGCGTTTAAATATTTAAAAGCTGAATTTGTCTAAGCGGTTCTCACCTGGCTATATTTGTCTAAGCGATTCTCACCTGGCTATATTTGTATGAGCGATGTTCACTAGATTTTCCTTAGCTTTGCTTGTCTGTGTGTATTTTTCTGAGCGATGCTCACCTGTTCACAGTAAGTTACATAATGTACTATCAGGTTCCGGATTGTGACGCCATATACTAGCTATCAGAGGATTATTAACTTTTGTAAACGGACATAACTTGCAGTGAAAGACTTTCTGTTTACCAGGAGATGTCTCATCATTTAAAATTATTTTTGTGTAGCTCGTTGATGATTCTTGATGATAAGCAAATGCTCCATAGAGAAAACGCATAAGTACAGAATGAAAACTCGATGAAGCTTTGTGTTTTTTTCTTGTATCACAATTGCAAGAAATTCAAATGATCAGTGATTGTCAATTAAATAGAAAGCTTTCAATGAATTGTGTTAAACCAAGATACATGATCTATATCATTGTTTCTCCCAGATATCCACATTGGAGGCCGAGTTAACGGGTATATACAGTACCGGCAAGGCGTGTCTTCCAGAGTTCGGTAAAGGATGTTTGTCTCTCGAACCAGGTGAGTTACTATTGTGCTGAATCAAGGAACATAATACATTCATTATTGAAACATTAATCGATGATACCAGCTACCCAATGTTGAGGCTATCGTGATCTATTGTTTTAGATAAACGGGGTATTCGAGATACACACTCGATATATCACTGTATTCAGAACTGATTGTTTCTTCCTTTTTTTTCAATTTCAAAAGTATTTCATTGACAATACATATATAATACAAACATATAAGTTAACATTAAAGAAGATATTAGAACAGTATTGACAAAAGAATAAGACAACGACAACAGGCTTTGCCTATATCAGTCTTCTTCTATTTCCGATAGCTATGTACAATGCTTAAATATATAAAATGTGGTAATTCGTTTTCCTCTCAAACACATGCACACCCACACCCACACCAGCTTATGTCTAATACTCGTTATTTAAGGGACAATACTTGCCTGAATAATAATAATAACAATACATGAATATTCATTTGGAATTCCTTCTGAGACCGAAAGAGCCGGAGACACCATGTTGCTTCTGATCCTTGTAAATTGGATGTAAAAATGCAATAAAGTGGATTGATTGATTGTATAAATCGTAATCCATCTATAGCTGGTCCGCGTTGGTCTCTGCAGTACCGGATACTATTTCAGTATTTTGTGTAGGGTTACGGTGCAATTCATTGAATGTACCGTTGATAAAGTAGCATTTCACAGTTTGACTCCAAGCGGTTACTGCACATGTTAGTACCTCGAACGTCTGTAAATTTTCATTACATTAGTATATCTGTTCATTCAATTATCATGAAACTAATCCTGGACTACGGAAGTTTTTTAAATCAAGCATCTCTTAGATATGCCATTTCTTGTAAAGTGGGACGGGGATTGGGGTGCAATTTTTAACAGTACGCGGATCTAAACCTCTTTAAGTCGGTCCAAGTACGCAAGTGATAGAATTTCAAGTCCCAGTGCTATCTCCAACCTTTAGCAGCCCTTTTATTTATCATTTGAATGATACAATTTAGAATAACGAAGGTTTGTTTTATTTTCACGACACAAGGCCTGACGGACTTGATGGCAGGGAGTAGAAACTATCAGGAATTGTTGGCTGCTTGGAAGGGATGGCGTGACGCATCGGGAAAGAAAATGAAGTCGAAGTACACACAGTTTGTTAACGTCATGAATGAGGCCATTGCTTTCAGTGGTATGACGTATACACATTTCTATTTTTGATTCCATTATGATGAAATACAAAGACGTAAACTTTTGATTTCGATATACATGTAATATGTTTTATACCAACTGACTGTTATAAATTTGTATATTAATATATTTAATACAGTATTCGTAAGACGATGTAGACTGCACATGCTCATCTTTAAATAGGTATGATCATGCATGATACCTGGATACAATAGTGTTTATTTATAGATTTGTTATATCCTTCATTACGAATAGAATAGCCTTAAGCTTACTGTAACCCACTTCATGCTGTTATAAGAGGCGACTAATGAGGCCCCCTTGCATAATCAGAGGTGTTCTTCCGTGTCTTCCGTGAAGCCCCCCCCCCCCCCCCCCCCCCCATCACTATGAACACTTTGAGGAATCTGTATCTTTTCTTCTACTTACATCTCTAGTTGTTTGCTAGTCACTTTTGACAACCGTCTACATGCTTCATTAGCTGACAAATAAAAAACTACAACAAAAATAAAAATGTAACATGTCACAAGCATTTGTTTTTGGATGAAGTAAACAATGAAGAACAGGCTTATCAAATCAGTCAGTGACTGCGCATTTACTTGTTTCCCCGAAACTAACCAATTGTAATTGTATTGAACTTTTCTTACAGTCATTAATTAAACTATACTACACCACAATGACGCACTGCTACATATATTTGCATTGATTATTCTTTATTGATAGATATTTAATATTTCTGAAAGAAACATAAATCACGGATTTATAACATAAATTAATGCAAGTATACAAAGGCGTTCTTTAATTAACAGAAGTGACTTATCAATACATGTTTTTACATGATGTAATAACAACCTATGATGGACGAGATACCTTCTTAGACAGGACAAAGAATCAAAGTCTTTTAGAAGTTTACGATTTTACGCGCTCTCGATGAAATTTCACATGGAATAAAGTCTTGTAATACATATATTCACATTGACTTTCCTATGCCATGTCTATATGATGTATCAGCTGTTATACCTTCTGAATTGAAATGCATACATAAGTAAGTCATCTCATCTCAGTAAAACAGTTAACAAATTCAATCAAACAAAAAATAATAAATTGACGCACAACTTCGAGTTAAAGGCTGGTGATATTAACATATTAAATATTATCTTATTTATATTGACAAGTAAATAACAAGGAATGCTGCATGTTATTCTGACTTTTATATGCAGGTTACAATGACACTGGTGAATACTGGAGATCGTGGTATGAGACGCCATCTTTTGAGGAGGACGTTAAAAACCTGTATGAACAGTTACGTCCATTATATGAACAGCTCCACGCCTACGTCCGCCGGAAGTTGATGAACAAATACGGAAAGCAGTACTTTCCGGATAATGGACACATCCCCGCTCATTTGTTTGGTAAACATTTAAAAAAAATAACGTTTGTGGCGTTATATTTTGGTGCTGCGATATAGAAATTGCGACGTCTTTTCTGGTTTTTGAGCAAATTCTGTTGATTGCAATAAGAGAAAAAAAACTTTTTTCTGCAACGGTGTGTAATATAGGGAATTTCAGTTCAACTCTCTTGATTTTCAAATAAGTTCAAAATCCTTTGTAAGCCTGGGGTTTAAACAAATATGAAAACCCATTTAGTGGAATTTCCCTATCCCACACACCTGGGCATGAAACTTATTACTTAATCGCTAATGTGAGAATTGTACATGTGGAATTACTAGTAATTGAGTTCTGTATTCGCCAAACACCGGTTGCTTTCCCGACGACAAATGCATTCCGAGTTATTTTGTATTCGTAGGTAACATGTGGTCACAGGATTGGGGCAATATATACGACCTTGTGGAGCCCTACCCTGACGCTACCAGCGTGGATATCACAGCCAAAATGTTGGAAAAGGTAATCAAATGTTATCACTCTCGGAATCTAGGAATTAACTCTAAGAGAACAAATGCTGATGACTGCTACGCCTCTGATCAACATCATAAACTTTATTTTAATCAGTAGATTGGTTACCATCATTGTTTTGGTTATTTTTTTGGAAGAATTTTAAGAGTAATGTACATTGTTACTGCGTAGTAAATCATTTTTCTTTGAGCATTTCTAAAATCCAAAGAAACAAACCTATTTTTCAATAGTTTGATTTAGTTCAGTATTTTTTTCCATCCCGACGAACTTAATCAAATGTTCACATGCATTGGATACAATCGTGAGTTGATGTATTAATCAAATTTCATTAATGCAAAGTTAAAATTTTAATGCATTTCTTCAACTTCCTGTTAAGAAAATCACAGATTAACTGGTTAGCAAGTGCCGTATTCTATTATTTAGTATCGTTGTCTTTTACCAGGGATACAACATCACACATATGTACCGAGTTGCGGAAGAGTTCTTCACTTCAATCGGTCTCGATCCTATGCCGGCAGGATTCTGGACTAAATCAATGCTAGAAAAACCGGCCGACCGAGAAGTAGTGTGTCACGCGTCGGCCTGGGACTTCTACGACGGACAGGATTTCAGGTAGGCCTCTTTTACAGAACCGCTGGAAAACTGTAAACAATTTACGTATTGAACGATCTCACTTTTCCACTCTTTAGGTGAATATGTTATTAAAGCTGACAGTGCAAGTTAAAAAGTTTACAATTAAAAAAAAAAATGGTTTCTTTTTCAAAATATTTGTTTCTGGTTTTGAGATCTTCCCCGTCTCTTCCGACTAGCGTTTTTAAGGAAGTGCCGACATTTTAGTTTGGTCCTTGCTTGGTAACGAGTATGGGTCTCGCTGGGTATACAAATCGCATTACCCGTCGAACCGGTTATCATTCTACTGTACTATATATATATATATATATATACAATGTATATATATATATATATAAAACACTTTCACGACATTTTGTATCAGATCAGTTGAATAAAATTAAAATTGAACACATCGAAGTTAGCATTTATTTAAGAATAGTGGAAATAGTACAAAATGTAGTAAAATACGTCCAATTAAAATATAATGCACGATCCCTGCCCCCCTCCCCCCAAAACCCCCGAAAACGGCTCTGAAAGACGGAGACATACGACGAACGTTAATGCCTACGTTTAAGATATCCAACTAGTTATAACCTCCTGTGTGAAATTCTATCATTTCCATGAGAACGGTTCTATTATCAAATTTCACATTGTTGACTTCACACCTGGGAGTTTTAACGTGCACTGTCAGCTTTAAGGCTATTTTCTACTTTTTACATCATGGATACACGAGTTATCGCCCTTGCTGATTTAACAAAACGTTTGTTTTAGGATAAAACAGTGTACAACATTAACAGAACAGCAGTTAAATACAGTCCACCACGAAATTGGTCACGTGATGTATTATCTTGCCTACAAGAAGCTGCCAAATACATTTAGAAATGGTGCAAATCCAGGTATTATTATATAAGGGCAGAAACTAGGGAAGTGCGTGTGTAACACAAGCTTGGTGGATTTGTTATAGAAATGGCTTCGGCGGTAAGGCTATTGACTAATCAAAATGATGTTGGCGGGCAGATAATTTTGGTTTTGCTGCAGGACGGTCAATTAGTAAAAGCAGCTTTGCATGGTTGGCAATGTTAAAGTTATGGTGTTGGTGGGAATATTGTTACATATTTTGTTTCCAACTAATAATTAGTAGCAGCTTAGTAGAAACCATTCCATCACAACAGTACTGATAATTTTCATAAATAAGGTATTTTGTTTTATTTAGTTAATTTCTCTTTTGTGTAATTCATTGTGTTTCATTGAATGCAAAATCACCAAACGACTGCAACCTTATAAACAAGACATTTCCTTTGAAAATTGAAAACAAATATTGGCTTTTATATTCACAAGCCTTTACTGGACAGGGAAAATAATAATTGTACGTTATTGGTTGCCATGTCAGCGGTTCCATTTCAGCAAAAAAATTAAACATATTTTTATGCAATTTTTCTGCGTTCTAGCACATTAATTTCATATTTGTTTTCTATACGCACACACCTCTTTATTGAAAACAGTAACATGATTTGATTGTGATAAAACTGTAAAATATCGCATATATGACATTTTCTACCGAAAAAACGTGACTGTCGACTTTCTTTAAAATCTACTGAAACGAAAGATGTTTCTTTCCTGAAAGTCAATATATTACACAAGTAGAATATATTATGTGTTGTCCGTGCTACTGTGAGATCTGTGAGATCTGTGAGATGCTACTGACTGGGGAGTGAGATGCTACTGTGAGATCTGTGAGATGTATACACTGTTTACACTGGGGAAACATTGAATTCATGGGAGAGGGCGAAAGTAACACTGGGGAAACATTGAATTCATGGGAGAGGGCGAAAGTTACACTGGGGAAACATTGAATTCATGGGAGAGGGCGAAAATAACACTGGAGAAATATTGAATTCATGGGAGAGGGCGAAAGTAACACTGGGGAAATATTGAATTCATGGGAGAGGGCAAAAGTAACACTGGGGAAATATTGAATTCATTGAAGGGGGCGAAAGTTACACTGGGGAAATATTGAATTCATGGGAGAGGACGAAAGTTACACTGGGGAAATATTGAATTCATGGGAGAGGGCGAAAGTTACACTGGGGAAATATTTAATTCATGGGAGAGGGCGAAAGTAACACTGGGGAAATATTGAATTCATGGGAGAGAGCGAAAGTAACACTGGGGAAATATTGAATTCATGGGAGAAGGCGAAAGTTACACTTGGGAAATATTGAATTCATGGGAGAGGGCGAAAGCTACACTGGGGAAATATTGAATTTGAATTCATGGGAGAGGACGAAAGTTACACTGGGGAACTATTTAATTCATGGGAGAGGGTGAAAGTAACACTGGGGAAATATTGAAGTCAAGGGAGCGGGCGAAAGTTACACTTGGGAAATATTGAATTTGAATTCATGGGAGAGGACGAAAGTTACACTGGGGAAATGTTTAATTCATGGGAGAGGACGAAAGTTACACTGGGGTAACATTGAATTCATGGGAGAAGTCGAAAGTTACACTTGGGAAATATTGAATTCATTGGAGAGGGCGAAAGTAACACTGGGGAAATATTGAAGTCAAGGGAGAGGGCGAAAGTTACACTGGGGAAACATAGAATTCATATATCTCTGAATCAATAATTATAGAAATTACTCTAACAGCTTAAGTAAATAAGATGTAGATCTTCATATGCTATGACCAGTACAAGATAAATAGGATATGGCATGAATCGATAAGCAGTTTTAACTTATCTAGGAGGCAATGCATTATCACTTGTATCGATTAGGAATTAATCACAACTAAAAGCATATGTATATGATGGTAAGAAGATCGAATCATGTAACAAATATCTACAAATGAAGGAATATTTATATCCATGCTGTTAACAATTGCCTTGTAAGGGTTTCCCTCCAATTAGTCACAAACAAGTTTTGCATAGGCAATCGAAAACTCTGTGCCCAAAGCAGTGTCCTTGCTGATGACAGATACAAGCAGTATGCACTTCTTTTAAGTATAACATGTAAATATTAAACGACTAATTCCCTAGTACCGTTCGATCATTGAAATTACAACTAATCGTTTTTGACAACAAATTTCAGTTCTTTATTCAGAATTATCACCTGAAGATGTATTAATTATTACTAGGCTTCAGCTGCCAGCCGACCGAAGAGATACGCTTTAGCGTCAGGGTTCAAATTTAGTAGTAGGTATTTGGTTATCGTTTATATCATGTACTTGTGTGATTTTATTTTGTAATGTTTGGGTCTTGATTATTGCCCCGAGACTTTAATACATGTCATTGTCCTAACTCAAACAATTGCTTTTTTTCCAGAGACGTAAGTGGAAATTTAGCGTTGGAAAATCCGTGAAAAGGAATAATTATATTTTTTATGAAATATCATTCCTGGTCTGATTCATATAAAGTTGCAGAATTAGTGGTTATGTAATATGAATAATTGCAATTTGTTTGTGTCCAGTGACAGTTTTTCGTTGTAGGATTAAACAATGCACGTTACTGACACAAAGCCAACTTCTCACAGTTCATCACGAGATGGGTCACGTGATTTATTTTTTAGCCTTCGTCAATCAACCTGTTATTTTTCGTGATGGAGCTAATACGGGTAATTGCTTCTCTCCTCTGGTCGATATATGACAATACGCTTTGTTTATTTTCTGTGAATTATTTATCTTGTATAACATTGCTGTGTTTATGGCCGTTGGCATAATTTAATATTTCCGACTAATCAGTCCCTATCTAAGCGTATGCATTTCTCCATTTCATTATCCATCAAGTGCAGCGTGTATGTCATTATCTTTTGTGGAGCGTTTAGCATTGGTTACATTTTCTCTAATAGAACGTTTAAGTTTGGTTTGATTTTCTCTAGTAGCACGTTTATATTTTGTTTGGTTTTCTCTAGAAGCACGTTTAAATTTGGTTTGATTTTCTCCAGTAGCACGTTAAGAGGTCGTCAAAATATCCTAACAGCACATTAAAGATCAGGGTTACGTATACCTATGTTTCACTGTAGACCTACACTGTACTGTAGACCTTCACTGTACTGTAGACCTTCACTGTACTGCAGACCTACACTCTACTGCAAAACTATACTGTACTGTAGACCTACACTGTACTGTAGACCTACACTGTACTGCAGACCTACACTGTACTACAGAACTATACTGTACTGCAGACCTACACTGTACTGTAGACCTTCACTGTACTGTAGACCTTCATTATACTGTAGACCTTCACGGTACTGTAGACCTATACTGTACTGTAGGCCAGCGGCTTACTGCAGACCTACACTGTACTGTAGACCTACACTGTACTGTAGACCTTCACTGTACTGTAGACCTTCACGGTACTGTAGACTTACACTGTAATGTAGACCTTCGCTGTACTGTAGATATACACTGTACTGTAGACCTTCGCTGTAATGTGGACCTTCACTGTACTGTAGACCTTCACAGTACTGTAGACATATACTGTACTGTAGGCCTACGCTGTACTGTAGACCTTCACTGTACTGTAGACCTATACTGTACTGTAGGCCTGTGCCTTACTGTAGACCTACACTGTACTGTATAACTTCACTGTACTGTAGACCTACACTGTACTGTAGACCTTCGCTGTACTATAGACCTTCACTGTACCTGTAGACCTACACTGTACTGCAGACCTACACTGTACTGCAGTTTCACTGTAGACCTTCGCTCCACTTTAGATCTACGTTTTACTCTGCACTAACACTGTTCTATTGGTCTATTAGCCTACTTTTTACTGTAGACCTACGTTTTACTGTGGTTAAACACTGTTTTATAGGTCTATTAGCCTACTCTTTACTGTAGACCTACGTTTAGATGTGCACTAACACTGTTCTATAGGCCTACTAGCCTACTCTTTACTGTAGACCTATGCTTTACTGTGGACTAACACTGTTCTATAGGCCTACTAGCCTACTCTTTACTGTAGACCTACGTTTTACTGTGGACTAACACTGTTCTATAGGTCT